TATATAGTTATAATTATATAAAAGATTTTTGTTTAATGTTAAAAAAAAAATATATTATATTTCCCATAAATCAATTTTATACGTATTAGTTTTAGGGATGTACTGGAATGGAAATTTTAAATTCTGGCCGGAACCGGGTTTGCCAAAATTGTTAAAAATTTCGGCCGGAACGAGAACTATATTTATGTAACTTTTTACCTTCAAGATTGATTATGAAAACCTGCACCTCAGCATCGTGGCTACATAATATATTTATAGCCTATAACATATATATATATATATATATATATATATATATATATATATATATATATATATATATATATATATATATATATATATATATATATATATATATATATATATATATTACTAATATCATTAGTTTGATTCTAATTTGATTTAAATCTAATATGTTGTTTTTATTTGTTTCTTATAATTTTATTTATTGAAAGTTTTAACCAAGTGCAAGATCTAAGGGGGGGGGGGGCCTTGGAATTTTCAGGACACAAATTGTTTGATAAGACCAAGTTTAATGTGAAGGGGTGGTAGTAAGATCTTTTCAACAGGTATCAGAGATTGATTAATAACATTGTGCGAACCAGGCTGTAAATGTTCTCTCACTGGCCACTCACGTCTTGTGAAGTGCTGGTTTGCAGCCCTGCTATCCCATAAACAAAGAAAACACGATTACTTTGTGTATCCTCCTTGCAGACCGAGAAGAAATTCTAGCATCTTAAAGTCTCCACATACATCCCACTTGTAACTGTCGTAGTTGATTTTCTCAAGCAACAACTTCACGTTCTTATAGTCTTCCTTTAGATGAACGGAATGAGCTACTGGAATCGAAGGAAATCGGTTTTCGTTATGGAGCAAAACTGCCTTTAGACTTCTTGTTGAGCTGTCAATGAATAATCTCCACTCTTCAGGATTGTGAACAATGCCAATGTCATTGAAAAGACCACGAACGTCATGACAATAGCACAGTGATTCTGATACTACATAAAAGTATGCGAATGTTTCATGTCTTTTTCGGTATTTCGAGGTTCTGCAGCTTGGATCTAATAAATTCCATTCTTTCAAACGTGATGTCAGAAGTTCTGCATTTGATTTAGTGAGACCTAAATCTCGTACTAAGTCATCAAGTTCTTGTTGGTTAGGGAAATGAGGTGAATCATTCGGTTCCCAGAAATCACAGTCATCATTGAGTTCATCCGGTGAGTCTACTTCAGAATGATATGCAGCTGCTTCTTCGGATTGAGGTGGAGTAGGAACAGGCAATTCATCACTGTGTGGAACTGGTCCAATAGAAGATGGTATACTTGGATAAACTAGAGTCAGCCTATCTTTCGGTTTTTTATACTTTGAAATGTCAACAATGCAGAAAAAGCAGTCATCATGATGGTTCGTCGGTTCTCTCCATATTCTCAGAATCGCAAAGGGCATTGACTTTCGGATTCCACGCAGCCATCCTTCCAGAGTTGATCTGCAGCTACCACAACTGTAGTGTGGTGCCCACGATTTGTCCTGATCTCCCATAGCCATGCCAAAATAAGCATGATATGCAGTAAAGAATTTTGTACCACTGACAATCTTATGTTTAGCTTGTGTTGGACTAATATAGTAACCACAAACATAACAGAATGAGTCAGGACAAAGCTTGCAGGATCTACTAAACATATTCACTACTTCATGTAACAGTTGTAATTAGTTAAACTGAAAATAAACACACGAATATAGTTAAAATCAGCATATATATATAATGTTTTAATTGCATTACACATATACGAAAACTCCGAAATATAATTTATGTTTTTTCTTAGGAAATCTTGATGATAGAGAAAAACCAATGGTACCACTGAAATCAGCATACAAAAATTATGTAAGAAACATTAAAAAATTAACATAAACAAAAATGTTGTTACATGGTGTAATTAAAGATGTGGGTTAGATATATTCATATATTTTTTATTTAAATATGGTTGAAGAGAGGTAGTTTAAAAAATCATCGAACCCGGACAAAAATAGTAAAAAGCTAAAATTTGGCATATAAGTAGGAAACAGAGATTAACGCCTCATTGATTGCGCTACGTAATCGCCAATAATTTTCTTTGTTAGTTCCAATCCAAGACTGTCGGGAGCCATTTTTGCACTTGAAGTCATGAAAATAATAAATATAATAAAAGTAAATAATCACGCTTCTCAAGGCTTACCGTGTTATATTTACTTTGTAATGATACAATAATGGAAAACATCTTGGTTGGATGTGGACTGTATTGATGTAATGAAACACTTGTTGTATTTCACTTCTTGTGTTGATGTTCTTCGATAAAACACTTTGATAAAACTCACTTCGATAAACTGTTTTGATAATACTGACTGATTGACTTATACTGACTGAAATACATGTCGGTTTACATGTCTCTTATATAGTAAAATGAACCTGTGTGAACCTGTTCTGGAAGATTCTAGATGCTTCTTTTTGATGCTTCTGGATGTTTCTGGATACTTCTGGATGCTTCTGGATGCTTCCAGATGCTTGTTCTGGAAACTTCTGGAAACGTCTGCATGCTTCTGGAAACTTCTGGATACTTCCTTTAATTATTAAAAAACTTCCGTGACGTTGACAATAAGTTGTACTTGTATTGTCAGCTGCAAAATGGCACTTGTCAACCAAATTCTGCCTGAGTGCTGTCACCTGTCAGCTGATTGCTCATGTCATGGCATGCTATGACTCCAGACTCCTAAACTGTTTGCTGTGGTAGTATAGTTTGTTTTGTTTTAAAGACATGTAAATTGTTTGATGTTGCAAATGTTTTGTCCAATACTATATATAAAAAGACAAAAAGTTCTGAAAAAACCATACAAAAAAATGTTTATAACTATATGTAATCAGTGCTTTCAATCCATTGATTTATTACGAGGTCATACTTGTACAAAGGGTTTTGGTTCAACAAGCTTTCGTCAGATGATTGAAAACTCCTTGAATCAAGAAGCAGGAGAAAAATTAGCTACTGATCAAATTAGAGAAAAGTTTGAACAATCAGAAATTGCATCCCTTAAAACAGGAGGGTAATCATTTACAGTTTCAAAAAGATCAATAAAGCCTACTGCAAAATGTCACAAAGGTTTGATGACCATTGAGATTGATAGAAAGTTGTCTGGCTCTGTCTTGTCTGGATGCAATATCAAAATCAATTCGGGTTAAGCACGGACGAAAATTAAAAGCTGGGATTAAAGAATTCATCGTATATAACAATGGTTCTTTAGTAGAGTACTTCTTAGAAGCTGACCTTGATTTCTATAATTCGGAAACTGAAACTTTAATTGTGCGGCCTGTTGTTCTTGTTAAAGATGTGAACGAACACACCTAGAAAATCATTGAAAAAAGAAAACAAGACGTTTTTAATGTTAAGGTAAAAGTATTTGTTGAAGGCGGAGAAGTTTCTTTAAGCTTGGAATTGGTACTGTTGATGTGGCAAGTTACTTTAGTGATGATATCACCTAGAAATCAAACTATTCCGAGTGCATTTGTCTGAACCTGAAAAAAAAAAAGAAACGTCTGTGGATCAGATATTACTCTTAAGAAGTCCCAAATATTCAGGAAAATTATGAAAACAGTGCTATCTTTTTCAAAATTATTGACTTGAAAAATTCAGTTTAAAATTTGCGCTGATTTGAAACTACTTAACTTGACTTTAGGACTTCAAAATCATATTTCAAAGTTTTGCTTCTGTAATAAAAGTACATATTGTGTAGATCAGCTTTACTCTAGAAGAGATAAACGAACCTTTAGATCAATTAGAGAGCAAAATCTTGCTTGGAAACAATGATGTAATTCTGACTCATCACTGAAAGAATTTTATAATTGCAAGTATCAACCACTTCTGTCAGGAGATGATGAAACTGAAGCTATGTAATATACCTGAACTTCATCTCTAAACAGGAACAATCAATCTATTATGGAAATAACCTATCAATAAGATGGGGACCAGAAAAATGAGAGATTTTCCTAGAAAGGAATTCTCTTGTCAAACAAAAACTACACGGTGGAGAGTTTGAAGGAAACTAGTGTAAGAAATTGATGAGATTACCAAATAAGCTTAGAGATTCTCTTCTTGAAGATCTTAGAGGATTTTGTAATGCCTTTGATGCTTTTGATAATGTGGCTTACTTGTGTTTTAGCAAGATACTCAGTATGGATTTTGAAAAAGCAATAGATTATTTTTATGATATTTTTTGTTACTTTGGAGATAAAAACAAAGAAAACCAAAATTCCATATATTATTTTGCCATGTAAAGGAGTTTTGTAGAAATAATGAATACGGACTGAATTTACAGCAAACAGGCAAGAGAAACTATTACTCAAGATTCAGTGAGTTTTCCAGATACAAACTTCCGATTTCCACAAAGAAACATACAAAAACGATCTATTACGTGTTGTACTTTCATACAAAGCGGAGAGAATTTGAGGCTTTATTATGTTCAGTAAATATCAGTTAACAAAATGTTTGAACTAAAATATTTTATTATTGATAAGATTCTTTAATTTATTGATATGAAATATGATATGTTACTTTAAATAATGGTATTTATTAAAGAGTTAGCTACTAGTCTATGCCTTAAATAAGTTTTTCTACGAACTTCTTTCTAAACCTGTTGTTTTTTTGTATACGCTAATGAGAGAAAAACACACTTTTTTATATCACAATAAGCACCATTTCTTTTCAGGACACCTTTTCCAATTTTGTGAAATACTTTTTTACGTACACTATAATCATACCTTGCTAGAAAAATTTAATTTGAGCGTGTGCACTTTTTTGAAACATAAACACTGTTATGGGGAGGTGTGCTTCCGAGTATGTCTAGCTTTTACATTGTCAGGTTAATGCAAATATATTTTCTAAATTTTATTTTAAAATCTAAACACTATATTTTTTTTACATTCAATTTTGTATTATACGATTGGATAATACCGATATAGATAGATACACCTGGAATTCAAAGAATATCTTTATAGACTTTTAATAAACAAACGTAAGAATTTTAACACTGTCAAGCTCTATCTCAGCGGACACAGAACGTCCGCTGGAAGTCTTGTGGACTTCACAAGGCGTCGTCTAGACATCTTGTAAACAATAGTTGTATAGTTGGGATAATTTCAGGAGATCGTCTACAAATTGTTAATTTACGATAATATTACGTTTGTTACATAGATGTCAGTTGTATTACGTCAGATACACCATTTCACTCAAACTTTAAACATTCAAAGTTCTTTCATATAATGATATTTGTTTAAAACTTCGAAACATCTCGTAAAGACTGACGCTTTTATGCGTCTGTCCGTATGTTTTCTTTAAATGCTCATTTAAATTATTTTTTTGCAACAAAATGGATTCGTTTTTCACGGCTTCAATATCTTTGACATCCTAAAGAAATTAAATTTAAACCAAATTATTAAAAACTTAGTAAAAAGCCTGAAAACAATCACAACAACAACAACAAAAGATAAAGAACAAAATTTTTATTGACATCATTCGCTTAAAAAAATATTTTGTGACTTGCATTATGAAAGGCCAAATAAAAAAGTAAATTTCAAAAACTTATCATAAAAAGCAATAACTTTGTAAAAAAAAAAAAGAAAAAAAAAAAAAAAAAGCATAATTGCATTGAAATAACATCTATAAAATCTACAAATAAAACTATTTTAAGATTACTTTTTCTTTTCAAAACTTTAGCCTTTAATAAAGTTTTATTTTTTCTAAGTTTTCGTCAAATTTTTTAGCCTTTAACTTGATAACTTTTTCTTTAATTAGTAATTCCACAACTTTATTATTGCTGAAAATGCTGCAAGAATCAAATATGATGCTGAATATCAAAAATGTTGTTAGAAAATTATTTCTTTATTATTCATTTCTGATTACTCTGGTTAAAATTTCAAATTGCTGACCATCTTACTTAACATTTTTTCTCTCTTAGTTCAAGGCTAATATATAGTAAGCATATTTCAGAGACTTTATAAAATTGTTAATAAGTTCGATTGCTGAAGATAGCAGGTTGTTAATCTTATTGACTTTAATTAAAACCACAAAATTGAAAATTCTTGAGTAAAACACTTTTCAAAATTATTTTTTAACTTTGTTTTGATAAAAACTTTCAAAACATCAAACACTTAAATTATTTTTAAGAATTAAAATGAGTTATTATTTTTATTCAAATTCATTTTATTTTTCAAAATTAAAAGGTAATTTTATTTACAAAAATAACAGCTAAATTTATTTCGTAAAAAAAAAAAAAAAATTTCAAAATACTAAGATTCAATTTAGAAAACAAAACTAAAAAATGAAAATTAGCAACAATTTTTAGAGACCATGTTTAGTCAGATTTTAATTCCAATATTAATTTTTAAAAAACTCTGTTTTTTAAAAATTATTATATATATATTAAAAAAAAAAAAAAAAATCAAAAATTGACTTGTTTTATTTGCTGTTTTTTTTTTTGTATTCTGTGTCTAAAACTGTTTTTTAGGTTTAATGAGCACAAAGCATTTTTTAAAGCACAATAATTTATTTTACACCAAATCAAGGTGTGCTCAAAATACTAAATTTATACTAAATTTTATATGGTCTGTTGAAGAAAATTTTTTTTTGCAGATTTGTAAGTTTTAAAATAAAAATTAATAAAATATAAGTGTTGCTACACAGAATTTGTAAACTAATTTTTAGTTAAAATTATTTGCGCTATAATTTTTTTATACATTAATAGATTGATATTTTTTTAAACAAAATAACTTCGCTGCACATTTTTTGCTTGTAAGTAAGAAATTTTATTTAATTTTTAAGTTGATGTGTTTTTACAGTTTTTTTTTAGTGTAAATTTTTACTTACTTTATTTAATTAAAAAAACCTCCAATATCCTCCAGTCTAAAAATGCATTAAAATCTTTACTAAGTATATATATTATAATTTAAAGTTAGTATTAGATTCCACAAAGTACCAACTTTTCCACAAATTCACTTTTAGATAGCAGGTTAACTAAATATTTGCCTGCGACAAACAAATTACGAGTTTTTTTAATTAGGTAATTTTTAAATAATCACTTGGCTTTTTAGTTAAAAATAAAACACATTATCTTTAAATTTTTAGACATAAATATACTGTCATTTAAATGATTTCTAATGAATGTATTTTAGAATTTATAGGTTAAAATGAAATACATTGATATATATACCTACATGCTAGAAAATAAATTAAAAATCTCTGACATTGGTGTTTTAAAGGATGTCATCAATGGTATGAATCTGCTAAACCCTAACCCTAAGCTGGAAACATTGCTAATTCATATAAGAAAGAAATGGCAGGACTTAAAAGGTAACCGTATTTGTTTTGAAAAAAAGTATAAAGAGTGGCTACAGACAGAGATTGATGTTTTTACTGATATTCTTGTGGAACAAGATACACGTGGCAGGTCTTCAATTGAGAATTTTGATGACTGTTTACTTCGTACAAAGTACAAGCGTACCAACTCTCTACAACATGGGCATCATCTAATGAACTACTTTTTGCAGCAAAAAATCCCTCTTAAAAAAGAAAATAAACTTGATGAGATTCATGCAGTAAAGAATACTTTTGACAATAGTAACAAAATATCTCAACAACTATCTGGTAATGAGGCTCTATCTTTACTTTACTATACAAATATGACCAAAGATGGATATCAACTACATCGAATTGCTGCTATGAGAAAAAACTGTGAACTTTATATCATATCACATAATAAAGGCAGCAAAATTATCTTGCTATCCAAATGAAATAGAGATAGATGATTATTTTGCTAAAATCTCAATGCAGAGCTTGGTTGACCACACTGCACAAAGACTATGTCAAGTACAGAATGAAGTTATTGAAACAGTTGCTGGTGATACAACCATATTTGCTACTTTAAGACACAAGGCAGGATTTGATGGCTCAACAGGACAAAGTGTCTATAAGCAAACAGTGTCTTAAGATGGTATCCGTAATATACAAATAGAAGAGTCATTGTTTTTAACTTGCATAGTAACACTTGACGTGAGTTCATTTGCTGGTGGAAAAAAGACAACTTTGTGGTGAAACCCAAAACCATCATCAAATCTGTATTGTCGCCCTTTGCGTTTTCAGTTTGAAAAAGAGTCTAAAGATATTATAATTTTTGAAGAAGCTCAACTAAAAGAAGAAATAAGGAATTTAAATTGCACAAAAATTATATTAAACAATGGAAAAGAACTTCAAATAAAGCATGTGATTGAAATAACAATGATTGATGGAAAAGTACACACAGCTTTATCTGAGGCCACTAACTCAAGTCAGTGTTGTTCAATCTGTGGATGCTCACCAAAAGAGATAAACAACATTGATGCCAGCATAGTAAGAAATTACCAGGCAAAAGGCTTGCAGAATGGATTGTCTACACTACATTGCCGAATTCGATGTTTTAAATGTTTTCTGCATATTGGTTACAAGTTACCTATCAAAAAGTGGCAAGCAAGAACAGCAGAAGACAAAGCACAAGTTGCTGAAACAAAGTCTCACATCCAACAAGCTTTTCTTCAACAGATGGGCCTTGTTATTGATCAACCGAAGTCTGGAGGATCTGGTACATCTAATGATGGCAGCACTTCTCAACGAGCATTTATTGATGGCATATCTCTTTTGCAAATATAGCAGGTGTCAATAAGGAACTAATTTTAAAATTGCACAAATATTTTGGCAAGCATATCAAGTGGCTATAAAATAAATACTGAAAAGTTTACCATAATGTGTACAGAAACTGCAAAGTTGTTTGTGAAACTGTACCCAAGGTAATACATGCCACAAAGCCTCCACAAACTGCTGATCCACGGCCCAGCCATCATTAATAGAATGTCACTGCCAATTAGAATGATGAGTGAAGAAGCACAGGAGGCAACAAACAAATTTTTCAAACAGTTTTGTGAGCATCATGCTCAAAAAGCTTCAAAATGTATGGTAAATGAGGACATTTTGAAAAGATTTCTATGCTCATCTGATCCTGTCATAGCATCTTTGAGGCAAACCTGCACTTCAAAAGAAAAAGACTTTCCTGTTGAGGTTTCGGAGTTATTATTATCAGAAGATAACATTGTAAATTTGTAAATGCTTCATTTAAATATATGCAGACAAAGATAGTTGCCTTAAAGTTGTAAATTGTGTTTGAATGAGTTGATATAACATGAAAGTATTTTTTTCATAAGATTGTGTACCTATTAAAAACAGTATACTGTAATTTTTTAATGTTTATTCTGTGGATTGTGTTTGAATTGAGTTAATAAGATGTGAAAAAATGCATTTTTTAATTTTTTTTTGCTGTATTTATAATTATTAAAAAAAAACAATTAATAAAATCTTTTTTTTTAGTCACAAACATATTTAGGAGCTCTAAGTATGTTATTTAAACCAAATTTAATAATATTTAATAAAAAAATAATTTTGGCACAAAAATGGGCATTCTGACCCACTCTGCAGCTGCATGTGTGGTATCCACAGTCGATTTATCTCTTTAACTTCTTTTTTATTTTGGTGATATATTTTAACCTGTGAGCTACCTCGCTTCCCAAAAATAAATAAATAAGTGTAAACCTAAAACAGCACTGAATTAAACAAATTTACAAAATTTTTTCTTCATTTAAACAATAAAAGTTTAAATAAAGAAAAATAAACAACAAAAGAGAAGTGAAAAGGAAAACACTTTTGCAACAGCTGTCTGAACTGGAAAAGTTCAAGTGAGAAATGACTAATGTAATGAAAGCATGATTTGGATGTTTAAAAATGAACATTTTTTTCATTAGATTTTAAAGATAAATTAGAGAAAAGTTCTTTGTAAGTCGACATCATCCTTGGTAATATAATAAGACCTATGTATAAAAATGTTAAACTTGCCTTTCGTAATTATACTGTTAAAATTTTTCTAAGCCTTTAGAATCTAACTTCTAAAATAAAATAGAAAATTTAGTAAGCTGAGATCTTGGCATCAGAAATCTTTTTTTGTATCAATTTCTAGTTGAAATATTAAGTGCCTAATAAAAAGTGATATATGTGATAAATTTTTAATAGAGTAGTACTTCTAATAATTAAAAAAAGTTACATTTAAAACTAACAGCTGCACAAAAAGCAGAAAATCATAGGAGTGAGGTATGAATTGTAACTGACAAATAAAAATAAAAAGCAGAAAATCATAGGGTAGAGTGAGAGTTGGATTGTAACTGACAAATAGAAATCAAAGTGCATGCTTGGCTAAATCCGGGAGATCATATAGCAGGCATGAATTTTAGCAAAGAGACAAAAAATATAAGGATCTTCATAAAAAAAAAAAAAAAATTACAAAAAGAATTCCAGTCAATATCGAGGTATAAAGTGCAATGATAGCGTTTGACAAGAAAGAAATTTGAAGAAAAAGAAGTACAATATAAATTTTTGAATGAAATTATAAAAGACACAAATCAGGGAAGGTAAGTAACTAGAGTTGTGTAAAAGTCAATAAGTAAAATAATGAATAAGAGAATAAATTTTAAGTTTTAATGCTATCAGGGTCATTGGTACTAGAAACAAGCCATTCATGGAGCATTTTAGTAATCAATTTGATCAGAAATAATATTAAAAAGAGTGCAGTCTTGGGAAAGAGGGAAACAGTAATAAACAAAGAAAAGTTTGATTGAGTGAAGAAACAAAAGCACAAGAAAGAAGAGCCAGAGAATTCAAATCTGATTTTACAACAAACAAATGAATCAATACCAAATTTATAACAAAGAGTTCTTTTAACAGTCTGTTAATGCTTTCAGTGTGTCATTAAGACACAATGAAAGTAACCACAAATAAATAGAACCACAAATAAGTAGCCTCCTCCTCTGTAATGGCCTTCTCGGCCTTGAGGAGGTGAATTAACAACAACAAAAAAAAGAATTAACAGACAACAACATCCACGCACAACATGACACTGTTAAGCTTTTTAAAGCTTTTAATTTTTATCGATACATCTCTAAAATTTACACTTAGTCAGAGATTCAAAGTTATTTAAAGTAAGAGTTAACATCTTCTAGCATTTGACTAGAAAATTAAATCCTACAAGGCAAAAGAAATTGTGGTAGAAAATGTGACACTGAATTACATATTACCAGTAAGGTGGTAGTGAATATCCAAATCCTGATCAGTTAAATGTTTTCAGTAAAGTTTATTAACACAGTTTGTAGAAAAGCAAGATTTTTTTATTTTGTTAAAGAGGAGCACAAATTACAAAAAATATGTTGCAAAACAATTCTGACTGATTTATAAATTTTTGTATAAATCAAAGTGATTATAATACAAAAGAAAAGAAACCAGAAAAAAAAAAGTAATAATAATAATAACAGCAAATGCAAAAAATAAGCATCTTTTATACATTGTTTTTATCAATTTTCTGTTGTTTTTATTTCAAAGTTCTATATAAATAGAGCCGCCTTCAATCTAAATAATGATTACATTTAAAGATAAAATAGCATCAAATTAACACAAAAAAATACCTTAATTATATCTGCTCGATCAACTTTAGTAGTATCAATGTCAAATTTAACATTTGATAAAAAAGATAACAGTTCAAAATTTAATGCCTCTAAATGAACTCTAGAGGAGTTCACACAAATGCGGATCTATTGAGAAAAAAAAAAAAAAAATTAAATTAAAACAATATTAGAAAATTAAAAATATTTGAGAAAATAAAGAAATATTGAGAAATTAATCTTTTTTCATACTTTTAATAAAGTTAAAAGGTACTTGAAAACAAACTAATCAAATGACTTACTTTTAAGTAACTAAATAAAGTCACATCACGAGAACTGTTATTACATCGAATAGTGATTCTGTCATTTGATGTAGATAATGAGCCTAACAAAAAAAAGTTATTTAATCTGTAATAAAATAAATCATAGAATAAAAACATACAATATATAATGTCACTGTCAATTATACAAACCAGGCTTGTAAACAATGCATCCTGACAGAGAATCTTCATATGCAACATCTCCAACTTTGTTTCTGAGGAGGACTACACCTTTTATACCATATCTGAAGCATAAATCAAAATAAACAAATATTTAAAAAATTGTAAAGTTATTAATATCAATTATATATATATATATATATATATATATATATATATATATATATATATATATATATATATATATATATATATATATATATATATATATATATATATATATATATAATTGAAAATACATTATTTACAGTGATATACTATTTGTTAAATAAAATTTTAACATAATAAAATTTTATTAATTTTAAGTGTATTTTTTAAAATTTTATTAATTTTAAGTGTATTTTTAAGAGTATCGTGGCTTAAATAGTTGGAGCCATTTTCAAACTAAAATGCGCTACAAAAAATCGTTATTTACAATAATGATTGCTGCATAATATTATAAGAGTTTTTTATTAAATAAACATAAAATACAACTAAGAACTAATTTTTAATCTATTTATGTGATATTTCAGTCTGATTAGCTCAGATGTAAAATAAAATACAATAATAATCTCACAAAAAAGTATGTAAAAAACTGTTAAGAAGACATAAAGATGAGCTGACATAATGTGAAAACTAATTTGAAATTTTGATGATTTTTTAAAAATGAAATATCAAAAAAACAAATTAAAAATTAGTACTTAGCTGTATTTTATGTTATTATTAAATAAATAAATTATCAAGTAATACAAAAAATGCCATTAAAACAATTTTTTTTTAAATATTTAACAAAAAAAAAAAAAAGCCATTACTAGGTTGCCTTTATCCTGGTTTAAAATTTTACTTTTTGGGTAGCAACATTGCAATCTGTCTATTTCAATAGCCATCGATTTTTCTAATATAATTAAATGGCATAACTGAAACTGAGGATTATTTTAACTAATTGTACATTTGCAATGTTGTGCATGCTCAACAACTCCTGACACTAAGCAGTTCGCTTTAGTCATATTTTTTTTAATGTTCAGTTATCTATCAGTTATCTATCTGTGCTGTTTTCTTTTTTCTGGCTTCACCTACATAAAAAGTACCACATGTACATTCAAGTTGGTAAACACCTAGGTAACTGTTTGGGTAGCTTTGATTTAATTTGTCATAACATATTAATTAGAGATCTTCCAAAACAAAATAGTTTTTATGCCAATTTTTCAAAACCCACATCCAAGAATAAGGCTTAATTTAGAAATCCATAGTATTATGGTATTACTAGTGTTAATTTGTTGGTCGTTTTTTGGTTGGGATGGTTTGTCATGTTTTACAATGTAAAGAAGTTGTATCCAAGAATATCCATTTTTTGTAAAAATATTAATTATGAACTTAATTTCTTTTTCTATATAATCACAAGTAGATAATTTATAAGCTCTTTCTATATATCGTAAGAATGCAATAACAAATGTACTTGTAAAACTGCAATTGTGTATATTGCCATATATTGCAATTGGGATGATTAATAGTTTTTTGCAAACAAAATAATTCTGGCAAAAAATAAAATAAAACTACAACAGTGTAGTAAAAAAGTACAGGTTTCTGTAAGCATTAAAATAACTATTATGCTAAAAATTTTACAAACTAAATTTAAAAGAAGTTTAAAATTTATAAATACTAATATATATATATATATATATATATATATATATATATATATATATATATATATATATATATATATATATATATATATATATATATATATATATATATATATATGTATTATGAGCCCCCTTTTTCCTAAATTAAAATATAAGTTCATGTAAACATTATTTTTTTACAGATTTTTTTATATAAGATTTTTTTATAACTTACTATAATATTATTAAAAATTTTATTTAAATAAAAAACATCAACATTTTTACCTGGGAACAAATACAAGTACACCATTAGAACGCAAATTATAAACCAAAGCATCTGCAAGACAAATATTATCATCTGACTGGTTGCTTTTAAAGTATTGGCTGAGGAAAAACTGTACTGATGCTTTCTGAGCATGATCAGCTTCCTAAAAAATTAGCTCAAATACTGACAACTGTTGCAATCAAATGACAAATGTTGAAAGACAAAATTTGTCATTTGATTTCTAATTTTAATAGTATAAAAATTAAAAAGTATAAAAATTGTATTAACAGCATGTATGTAGCACTCACAAAAAAAATTAATATTAACAAAAAAATTAGAGAAAAGATAAAAAAAATTGAATACTGACATTATGATGATAATTTAAAGTTGGAAGTGCACTTTTAGGTCAGCATTAGGTAGGCATGCTAAATGCTGACCCTAATTCCAAGGTCTGATATATATATATATATATATATATATATATATATATATATATATATATATATATATATATATATATATATATATATATATATATATATATATATATATATACATAAATATATATATATATATATATATATATATATATATATATATATATATATATATACAGCAATTTTTTTAAATTTATATATATATATATATATATATATATAAATATACAGCAATTTTTTGCCTACTTCATTTCTATGTTGTTAACGTGAAACCTTAGTGCTGAAAACATTTAACAATAAATTATGAATCAACAAAAAAGACTACTTTTTCTGATTCTGAGCATAGATATATATATAAAATTTAAATAAATATTTGTACCAGCTAAAAAAAAACATGAAATTTTTAAAAATGTTTGAATAATTTTACCCGATGTTTTATGTTCATATAATCACAGATTGATTGCAGATCGTTATTGCCAAGAAGATTTTGATCACTAGATGATTCATTTACAGAAGCTAACAATAAACGATGAACCTAGAACACACAAACTTCTTTTTTAATACAACTTGTTTTAATACAATACATATCTTATTATTAATGTTACAGTCAATGTTGAAATATATTGTATAAAATAAAGCTTTTTCTAAACTTTACGCATTGTTAAACATCAAAAACATTTTCTCAACTTTTAACAAGCTAAGTAGTGCTTACTTTTGTAAAAGGTTTATACTTTTCTTTTAAATTTTTCACAATTTGGTTTATATTAATTCAACGTTTTCTCTAGCTATGTTGTTTACATATGTTTATTATAACTTTTGTTTTGGTGACAAAAGTTTGTATCTATCTTTAAGTTGCTTCTATTTCATTTAATATATTTAAACATGAATTAAATACATTTTAATTGTTTTTAAACATTTTTATTTTAATTGAATTTAAGTACAAGTAAAGTTTGGGATTATTTATTGAATTGATTACCATGGTTACCATTTAGGTAATGAGGATGACGATAATGAAGAAGCTGAAAGTAAGTTTTTATAAATCTTTTTATAAGTATAACAAAAGTTTACAGTTTTGATTTTTTGATTTTCTGTCAGAAAATTTAATAATTGATTTAATATGTAACATATAAGTTTGTCATAAACGATTAAAGTCTTCAATATTTTATTAAAATTATTTTTATCATTGTTTAGACCAAGTACTAAAGAAGATACAGTACTTTTCTATTAGATACTTCTTATCAAGATATCATTTATTTGTACTCTAAATATAATTTTAAAACTATCTACTTACAATTTACTATCTAAATACTTTAGTTTTATAGTGGTTTGTTTTTTTCAGAAAAATTGGAGCTAAAACTATGAATTACTATGATTAGTAAAGTTAATAATATTTAATATAGAAAAAACCTTACTAGTGTTATTAGTAAAGTTAATAATAAATCTGAAGTAGAAATAAAAAATATGAAGAACAAATCCAACTTTAACATAATATAGCACATAGGATTATTATTTCTCAATTTACCACTAGTTTTGTTAATTTGTAGATAAACCTGTTTTAAAAATTTACAAGTATTATAATTTTTGTTGTTGTTGCTTTAGACAACTTTATAGATTAAATGAGAGAAATTAATAAAACTATTTTTTTTTAGTTTACACTTTTTTCTTTACTTATGTAATTACTTATTTTTATTATATTTTTATACTTAAATATCATACTTTATATTTCTTAAGGTATTTCATTTTTTTATCTTTAGTGTCAATAAAAACTTTAAATCTTTAACTCAATTGTTTTTCATGAATAAACCAGCTGGAAGTGGGAAAATATTTAAATATAATTATTTGAGTGCAAAACCATACGTAGAAGTTTTAAATATGCTACAGTTGAATGAACTGTTTTGGCAGCAACTCTTCCTACAAATGGAGCTACATTGCATGGTTTATCAAAACTTCAAGTTGCAATATTGGATAACAGTACATGTAATATAATTCTTAAGTCTAAACATAGAAACTTTATAAAGCAAGTTACTTTTTTTCCCCTGATGAACACCCATCATACCTAAACATTGCTAAAAATGCAATTAATAGATTGATAAAAAATGTCGGTAACAACAACTTTCTTTTGGATGAAAAGTCATTTTTTTTTGTGGGGGTTTTAGACAAAAATTGTTTGTTGTAAAAAAAGGGCAACCAGCCAAGGTTACTATATAAAAACAAGCTTTAGAATTTTCTCCCATCTTAATGTTTTCCTGACACATACAATTCGTGAAAAAAAAAATTAAATTTGTAAAAAAAAAAATTTTAAATTTAAGAACTTCTTGCTTTAGACTAAAAAAGTTTTTGTTTCAAGGCATAAAAAGGAATTCAAAATTTCTTTATGGGTGTGCATTTAATAGTTTCTATATTACCAACTATATTATCTATATTAGCTGTCTAGAGTAAAACTTACATTTAAACAAAGTCTTGTTTTAAATTACAAAAATATCTTAATATTATTTTCCTTTTTTATATGTAAAATTAAAAAAAAAAATTTTAAAATATAACTTTTAAAAATCCAAATTTTTTCTAAACAGTACAAACTAAAATACTCTAAAAACTAATAACTAAAATTGTAAAAGCAAAAACAATAGTAACAAATAAAAACAATTAATAACATATCATAGCAACAACAACAAATACAACAGTTACTAGATTTTTTAATAATGGTTTTAATAAATATACCAAAACATCAGCATATCTTCTAATAGGAGAAGTAAAATGTGTGTATACATCCAACGCAAGTCCTGAAAAATAATTTCATTTTCAATGTTTACCATTACCCTATTTTTTTAAAATAGGCAACTAAATACTGAAGAAAACACAAAAAAGTTTTTTTTTCTTTAGTATTTTTCTTTTTTAATCTTTATTTAAAAAAAAAAAGTCAATAACTGCCAAAATTCTGATCTTATTATGAGATTCTACCATGTTTTGGAGTTAAAGGGTTAAGAGAGGTTTGTAACTACAGTTAAAAAAAAAAGAAAAAAAGTAATAGCCTATTCAGCTTCGGCTATCTTGGTCTTGGAGAGGTGAATACATTAACAAAAAAACTAAAAATATATAACTACCATAATGATAATATTTTTCTGCAGCTAACGATCCAGTAGAAAAGTAAGAAGCTACATTCATAGCTTGTGTAGCAAGCATTCTGAAAACCTAAATATATTTATAAAAAAACTGTTAACAATCTTTTGTACCAAAAAAGGAACGTCAGTTGATTCGATAAACAATTCACATTATGTAACTTTAATTTAAATTAATCAGTTTTGTTTTATTCCCCAGAATAAAAAAAAAAAATGCAATGTAAGGTGTAATATTGAAAACATAAACAAAGGATATAAGTTTATAAATTGAATGATCTATATATTTAGATTTTTTAACTCATACTTTTAGATTTTTAAAATTCATATGTCATAATGTCATTATATATGTCATAGTATGTCATAAATAATTAAATAAGCTTATACAATTGTAAATCATAGTAATATAAACAAAATATTTAAAAATATTTTTAAACTAATATCAATTCAACTTAAAGAACTATTTAATTTTTTTTATAAAGCTAAAATATTGTGCATGTGCAGTTGACAATTGACAAAAATATTTAATTCTACATTTATTGACATATCATTGTAATGTTAGTTGTACTGTACTGTATTATCAGGTATATATTGCATTTGTATTGTTGATGTTGTACTACTGTAGTTGATTATACTTAATTGTTATTATAGATTGTATTATATAGTAGTGCTATAGTTGATTATACTGTACTTTTTTATGTAGATTGTATTGCATTATATTGTTATAATTGAGTATATTGTATTGCATTGTTATAATGACTGGGAGTGTATACTTTACAGAACTGTGGTAAATACTTTACAAATTAAAACCATATCCTTGAATAGTTTAATTTCAGTATTGTTTGTAAAGTTAAAAACAGCATTTACCTTGGTAATGTTAGGATCTTTATGTGTGAATTTACCTTGTTAATGTTAGGATCTTTCATTGTGCATACATCTAAGGAGTTTGCAAGACTTTTGTTTGATCTAAATTTATATATAACAAAATAAATGTAAAAATAAAAAGTAAATTTTTATCAAAAACATAATCTCAAGTATTCTATTAATATTTTAATATACAATATATATATTAGCTAAAACATAGTAATAGTAATAATATTAAAAAAGTAATAGAAATTAGATTGTTAAACATTAAATTTTAAAATGCCAACTTTAATTGCAACAGTTTTTCAGAAAAAAACAACAAAAAAACAAAATTTTATGAAAAAAAGATAGTACCTGCCCTGACCCAAACCTTTAGTCAGTGGATATACTGAAACCCCTGCAAATGTCTATTTTCATTTAACATCACCAAAAATGTTAAATGCAAGACTAAGTATGCACAGATATTCTACTTGCAAATTGAAAATTTATGTAGGCAAATAATCATTATGATAAAACAAACTGAAGTTTTGCAATAACTCAGGGCTTTTAAAATGTTGTCATCTTGCCCTGTCTTTCCCAAATTAAATTTTAGTCATATGATACTATCCTTATAATTAGCATTTCCCTTCTATTTTTATTAGAATGTATTCTTTTCAAAAACTGTATAGGTTGATTCACATGAAGGTGCAAACTGCTGTTTTTCAATCAATTTTAAGGTCCTTATATTAAAAAACAGAAAACTAAAACCAGCTTCTGTGTTAACAGTTTGCTAAATTGAATTAAATAAAGTTAGTATTTTCACACCTGATGTCGTGAAGAATAACTCTATGTGAACTGAACTCAGTATTATTTTATACACGTGAGAACGTCAAAAATAATGTTATTAACATAACAGTATGTTTGTATGTATGTATGTATGTATGTATGTATGTATGTATGTATGTATGTATGTATGGATGGATGCATGTATGTATGTATGCATACATATATATATATATATATATATATATATATATATATATATATATATATATATATATATATATATATATATATATATATATATATATATATATATATATATATATATATATATATATATATACATATATATATATATACATTTTTCCAACTTTTGCACTTCCCATTTTCATTTGTTCAAGAGTTGAAGCAAATTAATGTAAACAATAAATGTATTGTTTTTTATGATGTTGAAAGTTTATTTACAAACATACCACTTAAGGAAACCATCGACACAACTGATTTATTCTTTAAAAAAAAAACTTGTTAAAGACAACGTTTTAAAACTCAGTTTAACAAACTACTATAGATTTCAACATATGGTTCCATTTTCTATTTGATGGAATTTTGATTTCAATCAAACAGATGGTGTTGCGATGGGCTCTCATTTAGTGCCCTTCTTATAACAACCATCTAATCTTTTCATTGGATTTCATGAACAAACAAGGATTAAAAACTATCCCTCTCCTAAACCAATTTTTTATAAACGGCATGTTAATGACATAATTGCTATTATTAATTCTGAATATGAAGTCCAAAAATTTTTTAATCATCTTAATAAACAACATAGAAATTTAGTTTTTTTAGATGTACTTATTAAAAAATCCAATTCCTTTTTGACATCAGTTTATCATCAAAAAACTTATACAGGTCTGTTACAAAATTATTTTAGTTTTGTTCCTTCTTGCTACAAATTTGGTATACATTTACTATATTTATACATTGTTTGATTGATAAAACATATAAAATTAATAATGGCTGGGATTTTATAGACATAAAAAATCTCATTTTTTTTAATCTGCAAAAAATTGTTAAAGTTGTATTTTGATAATAAAATGAACCCATCTGTTTCTACTTTAGTTAAAAACTAAAATATAAGATACTTCAAGTTTCATTAGAATTCTAATTATAATAAAATGAAAAATAAAGAAATTGTAAATAAATATTTCAAAGATGTTCTTATAAAATTAATATTTACTACTAATATATATATATAAATAGATTATATTAAATAGTTATTTACTGATTTACTTGTAATTACTTTATTGGTTTATTATATAAATATTTTATGTCTGTTAATGTTTCTCTGAAAAGTCTTCTGTTTATTAAACAATACGTAATTCCAGGTGTTTTTTATTGTAAAAAACAATTTTTTAAAAATGTAAAGCAAAATTATGAAACATGTCAAGATTAAAAAAATTTATTTTTTTAAAAAAATAATACTTTTTTTATGCTATTACACCATTCAAGTTTAACTGAGATTTTCATATTTTTCATTTTAGTTATGTTTGTTGATACTAATTAAATTACTGAGTACCTACTGAGTACCTAAAAATAATATTTTAATTGTTAAAAGTTGTCAAATAGTAATTTGAAAAATTTTAATTTGTGTGCAAATTAAATTTGTGCAAATCAAAGAAAAATAGCAGTGTTAAAATAAACTTGCAGAAATTCCTAACTTCAGAAACCTCTAGAAAAACAGTGAAATATTAGGAGCTAACAGGTGACATGATCAATCAAAAAGATGGGGACAAAATTGGTGCCGAAAAAAAAAAGAGAAAAGAAGGTAAATTAAAGGTAAAAGTGATTTAGGTCAAATTTTAGGTTAATAAACCTCAAATGAAGAATTAAAAAAATTTTCAACTAAAAAGTATTGCTATTAACAGTATTTGAAAATCTCACATTTTTTATCAATTCTGAAACTCTAGAGTTAAAAATAAATGTAATTGATTGAAGATTTATAAATTTTAATGTTTCCAGTTGAGATTGCCTATTTTTAATTAATACAAAAAGGATAATAAGACACAAGTCTTCCTAAAAACAAATCTTTATCTAATAATAAAACTAAATCTGCAATAATGTGCTAGTCCTAGTAAAAGCAACAAAAGAAAAAAAAAAATTTTCCAGGTTCTTTTTTTTCACAATTAAGTCTAGATTATACTTATATATATATATATATATATATATATATATATATATATATATATATATATATATATATATATATATATATATATATATATATATATATATATATATATATATATAACCATAAGTCAATAATGGATTAAAGCTCCTGCAGATGCCTTTTAGTACAACTGACATTTCATGCAAGCCTAAGTAAGCAAAGATATTTATATACATATGTATACATAAACATATGTATAAAACTAAGGCAGTTAAAGATCATAAAATAAAACTGAAGTTATTTAGTATCATAATATATCACATAACTCTAAACGTGACTAAAAATATAAAAACTATATACGATGTATCAAGTTCAAATCCAGCAGCTTTTGCAAAATCTTTTAATGATCCAAAATACTCTTGATAAGGTGGTGGATGACATCTCAGCTAAAATGAGAACAACATAAGCAAAATGAAGTAATTTCTATCTCTTAAAATCATTGGTCATCATCATCATCATCATCATCATCATCATCATCATCATCATCATCATCATCATCATCATCATCATCATCATTATCATCATCATCAAAAAATAAAATATAAAACATTTACCAATGAGTTTGATTTAAATGAATTCAACAGTTTCTTAGCTACCCAGTGATTTGCAAATATCATGCATTCAGCTATTACCTCATGAATTTCTAGTTTCTAGATGATTTAGTTCATCATGTTAATTTTAACAAATATTTTGTTAATATGTATAGTTTACATAATAGATATATATATATATATATATATATATATATATATATATATATATATATATATATATATATATATATATATATATATATATATATATATATATATATATATATATATATATACATCTACTACAAACACTTTATTAAAAAATATTTTATAGATAGTTGACAAGAGTAAAGTAAAGAGTTATGACTAAAAGCTGCATATATGATGGAAAGTTGTTTCAAGTTCTAATGAACTTTTAAACTTCTTTTAAACAGTTCAATCAGTTGTTTTAAATAATATTAATCATTGCACCATTGAAATTATGCAAATCGTTGTAATCATTATATCGTTGTACCGTAGTAATGGTTGTAGCCAAATAATTACTCAAAGTATGATTAAATAGTTGTTAATAACATGACTAACTATATGCTTTAATGTCTTTTTTATCACCTTTTTTTGTTCTAATCCGTTTACTTGCTTAGCATTATTGACTGTTATCTGAATTTCACTGGATTCAAGATCAACAGCTCCTATAAAGTTATAACACCAGTTGTTATTAATAATAATTTGAAAAATATTTGCAAAAAATAATGCGAATAAATGTATAACTATGTATAAATTTAATTTAATAAATGATGCATAAATGTACTAAATTTTTATACATAAGATGATAAATTTTTGTACATAAGATGATAATAGGCTGTGTATATTTGTAGATGCAAAGGACATATACAGATTTAAATTTGATATGACTATGATAAAAATATCATAGCCTTATTCCAATATTTAATGACAGCTTCCTTATGTTTAATTTTCTGCTTTTGCCTACATATCTACTAAAATTTAATAAAATAACATTTTTTTTTGAAATTAGCAATGCTTTTGGCTTCTTGAGATGTTTTTTCAATATTCTTTTGACAATTGTCCAAAATTGTTCCATAAGGCATAATTCTGGACAATTTGGTGGATTTATGTCTTTAAAGGGATCCCAAACTCCCAACACATGTTGTGTTCATATTAAAGATAATGTTAAAAAAAAGGTTTGAACCAAGTTTTTTTGATTAAAAATAAATAATGAATGCATACCAAGAAAAACTAATGTTGTTGTTTTAGCCGAAGCTCGCCTTCTCCATTTTTTTCAATAGCTCAGAGTCTTTAAATTATATGTCGCAATCTAAAGACTTTGGCGATTCCTTTGAAGCGCGTTTAATTCATAAAAGTTTTAGTATTTGACGTCAGGGTAGACTTTTAACAAATGAAACTCTGGAAATATTTTTATTTTTATTCAAAAAATTTTTTTCTTTCTATTTTCAACATTTAAAAAGATATTAAAAACCTCAAATATTTTATGCTTGTTCATTGCTATAAATTGTTATTGCGCCATATATTTAATGTTTATGAATTATAAATATTTATTATCTCAATCAAGACTCTGATTAAAAATTGTTTTACATTAATTACCCATATAAAATTAGTAACAGCATTTTTATTTGGTTAGACAATATTTCGTCTCAATTTGCTTTGCATGAAGTTTGGGAAGTCAAACGAAAAAAATTAGTTTGAATAATCACTTTGAAATACATTTAAAACAAATTATTTTAATGACAGGGGTTTTAAAGTTTTTGATAACAAATGTTATAGGTAAAAAATAAATAATTAAATAAAAAGTTCAACATTAAACATCGTTTCTTTATTATATAGCACTGTAAATATTGAAATATTAACTCGAACTAAATTTACTTATTATTTAGAACAACTAAGCAATAAAATTAAAAAGCCCCCAAAATTATGCGATATTGTGTTGTTTATTTGATAATTGTTGTTGGTAATGTTGTTTATGGCCAGCCGCCACAATTCAGAAAATAGTTACGCTTGGTTTCTGTTGCGTTTTTAAAAACTTCTAAAACACATGTTATTCTTAAAAAGAATAACACGTGTCAAAAATGGTTTTTATTCCGTGAAATTAACTATTACTATTTACCATAAATACCAGTTAAAATATTAATGGTTTCACCGTTATGGAAATGTAGTATTATATTATGATAACTTTCCGTAAGGAATAAGAAACCACTGAAAAAAGCATGCAACATTTAAATTTGACTTTAAAACCTCAAAAAACACGTGTTAAACTCGAGTAAAACTGCCTGTAATGTACACACGTTTTTGGTTTACGCCTGGATCATAACAAACACGTGTCTATTCAGGTTTTAATTCCAAAAAAGAAACTAGATGTGCCGGTAGGGTGTTGATTATTTTCATTAATATCAAAATAGTCTCAGATTAATCTGTTAGTTGCTTTGTTCATTGTTTTATTTCTAATTTAATTTTATTTCTAAGTATAAATTTATGTTAAGAAAGAAAAGTTTTTATTTCATTGCTCGCTCTTTTTATACAAGAGTGGAACATAAGAGAAAGAAAAGTTTCACGTAAAAACTTTTAACTTTTCTTTGAATAAATGAAAATTGAAAGAGAAAATTGCTTGAAAACTTGTATTTGTTAATTGTGTTTTTAGAAATTTTTAATTTTTCATGTTAAGAGATAAATGCCAAATACGACACAAATTGGGAAATACTTAATATATGTTTTTTAACGCACGTTAATTTTGACAATTTAAATTACCATCTATCTTGAATTATTGCCATTAATTAATGTGTTAATTATTGCGTTATATAATAACAATTTGTCTGTATTTTTGTTAAATATTAGTTGTATAAAACAAGCAAAAATATACAAACTTCATTTGATGGTTATAAAATATTATTTTTTATTTGATGTTTATAAAATATTAAACAGTAAACTTATAATCAAAATTTATAATGCGGACTTGTGTTGCTATTAATTGTACTTTTAATGCAAAACTAGGATCTCACATATCCTTTAATGAATTTTCATATCTGATACTACTGTCAACTGTATTGTTTAGTGTATTCTTGTACTTTTTTTTCATAACATTAACAGGTTTTAATTGGTATGAAGTTGCCAACATTTTAAAAGTTTCACTATTAAAAATCAAATGTAAAATAAAACGATATTTTCTTTTTATCTGTATCTAATTCAGCATATTTAGCAATTTAAAATAAATCAGCGTAATCAAAAAGTTAGCAATTCATCAAATATCTCTAATTAATACTGTCAGTTTATGAAATTAATTGTAAATAAATACTTTTTTTCGACGGGAAAACAAAAAAATATCGTAGCGTAAAAATAACAAGAGAAGTTGGAAAATAGTTCTTATTGTTTAAATAAAAGTAAGTAAGATTCAGAATATATAATACTGCGCTCTCTTGCGCAAAAACGAGAGACCGTATACATTAAGTTCTATATAATGTAAAACACTTGTATGAAAATTATAAGATTCGTAAGTAAAGCTTTAATATTTATTTTAATTTAAAAACAAAAGAATTATAAGTAAGATATATAAATCTGAAAATTATTAAGATATCAGTAAAAAAAAAGTTGCACCTATGAAATAAATTTTATTATTTTTGATTTTTACAAAAATTTGTTGTAAAAGTTGTTTTGCTGTATGTTAAAAAATTATTACATCGTACTTTTTGAATAAAAGCAGAAAAATGTAGCTTTGTTTAATTACACTTTTCATTTGTTAAAAATCAGCTGTGATGTCAAATGCTAAAACTTTTATGAATTAAATGGGCTTCAAAAGAATCGCCAAAGTCTGTAGATTGCGACGTTTAATTTAAAGACTCCGAATTATTGAAGGCGAGCTTTGGCTAAAACAACAACATTAGTTTTTCTCGGTATGCATTCATTATTTATTTTTAATCAAAAAAACTTGGTTCAAACCTTTTTTTTTAATATTATCTTTAACATGAACACAACATGTGTTGGGAGTTTGGGATCCCTTTAACGGCAAAATTGACTCAATTCTGTTGGTACCACAAAATTGTATCTTTTTAATAATGGTAAGTTGCTTTATCTGGCTAATTTGTCTTAAATTTGTTATATTATTTGGTATTGAATTCACTACTCTCACTATCCATATTATTTCTTAAAAAATATTAGTGCTTTACAAATTTGGGTGAAGTTAGGGTAACTATAATAACTAGCACAGTAAGTTTTGTTGTCTATTACAGTGTTTATTACTTTTTATTTTGTCAACAATTTATAAATTGCAGCATTGAACAACAAATTACTTTTATTTTTTGATTTTCTTTGCATCTTGAGAATTTTTTTAGTTTTTTAGTTTTATATTTTATAACCTTGCAATTTCCAAATTCTTTTAACTGTAGTTTTACTTGAATTGAATTTTTTTAATCTAAATTTCATAGTGATTGTGTGTTTCATTTTCAATTTCATAGTGATTGTGTGTTTCTTGTGTGTTTCATTTTCAATACTAATTTTTTTGATACAATTTTTTTTTTCAACAAATTCAGAAATTTCTTTTTGATAGTTTTGTTACCATTGCACATTTTTATAAAAAGTGGAACAGTTATTAGTGGAATTGCTGAACAGACATTTTTTTTGAACTCTTGATTTTATGTATAAAAAAAAAAATTCAAGTTATCTTTATGTTGTTTTGAACATATTTTGATAAATTACAATTTATCAAAATCATAATTTTCACATAATTTTGATGCATAAATATATTAAGAATCTATAAATATAGTAATAATCATAAATAAAATAATATTTTGAAATAAAAGTACAAAAGATCTTGTAAATGATAAAAAAATCTAACATTTTCATTTTCGCTCACTATTCATATACTTAATAAAGGCTCTAAGCCATTTGTGGTAATCAACAAACCTATCAAATTGATTTGATATCTTAACACCAGCACACAACTTGCAACCATAGTATAGGCTTGTAATGATCTGATTGCATTCTTAAGAAGCCATCAGTAAGTAAACACGCTCAAAATATTTCTGAGATATGTCTTAGATGTTTATATTTTGTTTCCGAAAGATGAACACAGCATATTATTATACATATTTAAGCAATTAAAAACAAGTTCTGATTTACGAATTATTATGCATAAACTAATACTTTAAAAATAAAACATGAAATGTAAAAAAAATTATATAAAAAACCAATATTTTTTTCTAAAAAACACCAATAATGTCTAAAAATAATGAATTACCTTTGGTTGACCTTTTCATTTTTAAGTTACGAGCAATCTTCATAAGTAAACATAGAGATTTTTGAAGTTCATTGTAACTTTTGAAAAAATAATATTCATTAAATGACAAAAAATAATAAAAATAATAAAAATCATTTTCATTTTTCACCTCTCTGAGGAACTACTATGGAGGAGAGTTTTTTTTAATTTTACTGATATCTGTGTGTGCCTGTGTATTTGTGTGTTTGTTTGTATATATATATATATATATATATATATATATATATATATATATATATATATATATATATATATATATATATATATATATATATATATATATATATATATATATATAAAATATTAATTCACTTCCTTAAAGCTGAGAAATAACTTCCGTAAAGTCACTAAAATGAGGAGGCTACTTTAACTGTGATTACAACCCTCCCTAAACTCTATATCTCCAAAACAGTAACTCTGACAAATAAAGCTGCTGCGCGGAGAATACAAGTTAGCGCCGTACTACCAAAGATATAGCGGGGACTTGTCCTCTACCACATTACTATTTTTTATATATACCACTACACCGCTACCACATATCTTTCTTTATCTCTTTACATATATATATATATACATATATATATATATATATATATATATATATATATATATGATAAACATACTTTATTACATACACTCTTTATTATTTATATATGTATATCTTTCACAAGTTTATATATATGTGGGCAAACTTGTTCCGAAAGAAAAGAAAAAGTTATAAAAACACATACTAAACTCCTAAACTCTTTTTTCAAAACTATTTTAAAATACTTTTAGGCACAAAAGTTATAAAAAAAATCATTTTATCATACCATAGCATGGTTTTAAAGTTGTAAGGGTCATATAAACATGTTTTGACACTTATTTACAGTTCTATTGTGTAGTGTTAAATATCGTACGGTATATCCATAATTGAAAACTTTGATGTTATATTATATTTTTTCAACATAATATAGGTGGTTGTTAATGATTATTTATACTTTCTTTCTTACATCATTGAGTTGTTGTATTTGTTGTTTTTAAGCATTGAATTTTTTGTTACGACTGTCATGACAAAAACAAACAACACAAAAATGCATGTAAAGCTCCAATTAAAAACTATGAAACTCAAATAACTCAAAAACACACCCAATAACTTTTTTTTTTACCATGCCGTTTGCTGCGTTAAGTCTGACAAAGTTGTTTTGTTCAGAAGTGGTAAAAAGTAAGTGTTACGACCGTCATTTAGAGTTAATTTTCGTTCATTTAGAGTTAATTTGTCTACTTAGAGTTAATTTTTGAAAAAAGATGAAGAATTTAATGCTGTAACGTTTACATACTAAATTATATGATAGTATTTCACATTTATGGAAAGTTTATTTTATATAAAGTTTATTATTACATTTATTTCTTTTTGATTAGCAATTTACAATGTCAATTATATATATATATATATATATATATATATATATATATATATATATATATATATATATATATATATATATATATATATATATATATATTGACATTGTAAATTACTAATAAAAAAGAAATAAGTTTTACTAACCAATTTTTTAATTTTACAGAATCAATATTTTTAAACTCTGGAATGATATTAGGAAGTTCTTCTATGTGTAGCTGATCATCAATAATTGTTTGGGCAGCCTGAAAAAAGAGTTTGAATGTTATAACTAAATGCAATTTTATATATTTATTTATGCAACATATATCAAGCCTTCCCAAGAAAAAATACAAATTGCAATGTGTTGGTAAAATTTATTTGTATAATTTTAATGTAACAACAAGGGTCGAATTAAGCGAATGCGAAACGCAAAATCTGGAAAAATATCTAGTATTCAAAATTTTAGTTTATACAAAACCATGTTCCTTGTTTTTAAGAGGAGAATCAACTTAAATTTGTTAGCGAAAAAATAAAACAATAAACTTACAATTACAAAAGTAATAACACTCTAGTCACTAACTGCGTTACAAAAGTAATAACACTATAATAGTGTTATTACTTTTATAACGCACTTATAACTTTTAAAATTCATTCTTTGTTCAAGCAACATAAGTATTCCCAAATTTTAATTGAAGTAGAAAAATATCTAGAAGAATAAAGTGGTTGTTCAAATAATATTAAAACTTAAATAACTTATAAAAACGTGACAAACAACTTTATTAAAACGTATCGTATTAAAAGTTTAGCATTATGAAATGCGTTACTAATGGACCGTAAAAATGCTTGTTAATTTTAAAATTCACCAATAAAAATCTTTTACTGGTTGATTTTTTTTTTTTTTTTTTTTTTTTTTTATTTTAATTCACCTCCTCAAGGCCGAGAAGGCCACTACAGACGAGGAGGCTACTTATTTGTGGCTATAACCCTCTCTCAACTCTATAACTCTGAAACACGAACCTTGACGAACAAGGCCGCTGCGCGGAGAAACGAGTTGAGCGCGGTACTACCAGGGACGTGGTGGGGATCGAACTCGGACGTGGTGGGGATCGAATTTTAAAATTAACGCGCGTTTTTACATAAGATTTTTCATAATGCTATACTTTTTATAAAGTCCTTTTTTATACGGTTGTTTAACTGATCTGTGAAAGTTCCTGAAACTTTTAATATATGAATATCCGCTTTATTTTTTCTAGATGCTTTTCTTCTTTAATAAATTTTTGGAATTAATAATGTTGTTTGAACAAAGAATGAACTTTAAAAGTAATAAGTGCTTTATAAATCTAATAACACTGTTATAGTTTTATTACTTTTATAATGCAGTTAGTGACTACGGTGTTATTACTTTGTAGTCGTAAGTTTAGTGTTTTTGTTTTGTTTTTAGTAACTTTCTCGCTAGCAAACTTTTAATAATTTGCTCCTTATAAACAAAGTACACAGCTTTGCATGAACTAAAATTTTAAAGACCTAATATTTTACCAGAGTTTGCTAATCGCGTTCATATAATTTAACTCTTGATATAAACTAGTTATATTATAATTATACAAATATATTTTAAAAACAGATGACAATACATATTTTCCCTTTCCTCTTTAAAAAAAAAAACACATAAAATATGGGAAAGTCATCTTTTTTAATGCCTAAAACCGTTTTTTTTTGGCTTTGACTTAATGAATTTTGTTGCCGATAATAATAACCACTAAGAAAAAACAAAAAAAAAAACAACAAAAAAATTATTTAAACTATTATTATTATTTTCTATTTAAGTTTAATTTCTTATGATGTTATTAAATTTAAAACAATTTTCCAGCAAAGCATTTACGCAACCGACCGTGATCACGTTCTCTAACTTGAAAAACATTTTCGTTGTCGTATGAGACAAAAAACCACACGCCTTTCCTGGGAAGGCTTGTATATGGAAATTTGTATATTTATATAAGCAACATTGACGCAGTTTTGTATACTTATGCATGCAACATTGATGCAAATTTGGCAACTATTCTTATATTTCTAATATTTTGCCAATATCGAAACCGTATACTCTTACGGTAATGACTAAAACATAATATATTATAAGATATTATTTATAAAAAGCATAATAATATGTATATTAATATAAAGTTGTTAAGGGAAAAACAAGAAATGTCAGTTTTTAAAAATTTTGAGATTTTTTTATTAGCATGTTGTACAAATCATAATAGTTTTAGCATCTTTTAATTTCAATCATACTATCTTTAGTATCAAATCATCCTGAAATATCAGAAAACAAACAATAAGAAAGAAATAAAAACTTCAAGTGATATAATGAGAAAGTCTTGTAAATGCATTCACAATTTTTAGACAAGTTTAATCAAACAAAATCAAAAAACCAACAGGATGCTATGTTGAAGACCTAGAAAAACAAATAAAGAGGGCAATTTACATTGCAATTATACATTTCCACACCAGTATAATTTATTTTTTGCAAGAGATTCTTTTGTAAAAACTTATTTTTGTTAAAAAACATTTCTTTCTATATTTAACAAATCTAGACTTGAAAAAAATTCAGGTCTTATCAACTGGTAAGTAATAAAATAGTAGTTAAATATAAATAGTTCTCATAAGCTTATTATTTAAAAAATGCCCAAGTTTATCATAAACCTATGGGCATGTATTTACCTATGCTCATTTTAAAACTATTTTAAAAGTGAAAAAATAACCAAATTTTAAATGAAACAATTATAAAAATTTAAAATTATAATGATTAGAAAATTGTATTTCGTCTAAGTAACCATAATCATCATATACATTTTTTAATAATCATGTATATTCTTTTTTTCCACTTTGAGTTTAGAAATTAGTTTGTTAGGAACAAATTTGCTTTGCTTTTTTTGGATTTTTTTAAAAACATTTTTTTTCCCCACAGGAATGCCATCAATGAGGAAAACACATGAACTATCCTTGTAGTTTTACTGAAGACAAAAATATGAGAGCATCATTAATCGTACCTGATATTTTAGACAGCAGTCTCATTACTGTGATAAAAATTCTAGTAAGGTTTACTTATTTATTTACTTAGAAGATCTGAATCTAAGGTTTACTTATTTATCTACATAGAAGATATGAATCTAAGTAAGATGCATGCAGTTTATATTTAGAAAGCCACCCGGGTCAAGCTTATTAAAGAGAAAGTTACAGGTAGAAACTGAAAGTTACAGGTAGAAAACAAAGCTGTTGGTTTTAATAACACTTTTCTTCATAATTAAAACATGTAAATTATTCTAACAATATATATATATATATATATATATATATATATATATATATATATATATATATATATATATATATATATTTTATTGTGGATAACTTTTTATCATTAGTTATTTATAAAATTGAGGACATTACTTATACATGTTAGAAATTTCAGATTTTGTAATATTTTATTTCTGATGCATCTTAAATGAGAAGTTTAAACTTGCCTTGGTTACACAAAGAAAGATACATACTAAACATGCAGTAGATTTAAAATAGAGTAGTCAAACAGCTATCCTCAACATAAACTCTAAAAACATTTAGCTGAACGTGGTCTTAACTTGAGGAAAAGAACAATTTTTATAAAAGGAAAACAACTATATATGATGAACATTCTGTGACCTGGTTTGCTGCAATCGCCTTTGAACTTTGAAAGACATGTTAATAATAGACACAATAAATATGGTTTTAAATTTATTATTTTTATAAAATGCAACTTTTTATAAAATGTATAAGGTTAATAACCATGGCAACATTATGAATTTTAAACTTATACTTTTCCTTGCCGTAATATTACTACCAATGACACATTACAGACAAAAACATTCTTTGTACAACATTAACAACCTGGAAACTAATGAAGTTGACCTTTTTTCCTGTAATGAAACAATAGGAAAAAATGAAACTAATAATGTATATCAATGCTGCACTTCACTGTAATTCTGTCTAATGAAGTCACTCATATTTAATTCTCTTGTGATTCATTTCATTGACATAATAAAAATTGGATTGTGCTGCAACCTTCACTACATCTTTTCCTATCAGAGGACACTCTTATATGGAATGTAACTGTGATATTAAAAATGATCAATCTTCATATTGACACACCAGTGAGCTGGCTAAGGTCAGTGGATGTGAGAAAAAAAGTTATCTTTTTGATATAACTTCAGTTGAAAACACCATGCTGCTAAAAAATTTCATATCTTGATAAGTGGTTGTAATCATTTTTTAGATAAAATAATAATATTGGATGTCTTATTGGCATAAGAAAGATTTGTAAATATCGGTAGTATCTTGTTTTAGTTTATTTTAAAAACTGCTGCAAATTTTTTAAAAGTTAATGTGATTTACCAGAACAATAAGGTCATTTTTAAAAGTTATCATTTTTGTGGATGGTTAGATGTTTTTAATTCATAGTTAAAATTAAAATTGTTCTTACTATTTGAGCTCTTGTTTATAAACTTAAATAAATTGGTGTGAATTATGTATGTATGTATGTATGTATGTATGTATGTATGTATGTATGTATGTATGTATGTATGTATGTATGTATGTATGTATGTATGTATGTATACATATATTAAATTAGTAAAATTTTGTCTTTGACAGGCTGTTTCCTAATCGGAATCATCAAGGAAGCTTCCTAATAAACCTACAAAAGAAGAAACAGTCTGTCAAAGACAAAATTAGATTAGTATTTTTACTAATTTATTATTGGTCTGTTCTTTAAGAACATCAAGCACTCTATTTGTAGAATACCCTAACATAATTTACATATATATATATATATATATATACATATATATATATATATATATATATATATATATATATATATATATATATATATATGTATATATATATATATATACATATATATATATATATATATATATATATATATATATATATATATATATATATATATATATATATATATATATATATATATATATATATTATAATACAAACATTACAACTTACTTCATAGTAAAGTTTATACTTTGATTTAATAATGCTTCGTCCATACCATACATCAACAACTTCAAAACATTTGTTTAATTTCCAAATCACACTCACAGCATATCTAGAATTTATATAATGCTAATATATTTATACACAATAATAAAAAGCTAAAACACTAAATATATTACACAACAAACATTTTATATATATTAAATGTGGCTTTAAATTTGTACTATATTAACACATTTAAAATTTTTATAAAATGCAAAAACAATAAAGTTGATAACCAAATAATCAGCCCTCAGAATTAATGTTGGCAAATTGCTGACCTCATTTTTCCTAAATCCAAGGGCTGATACACACACACACACCCACACACACACACCCACACACACATATATATATCAGGTGAAATAAAAAATATAATTTTTTCGTTTAAATAATTATATACAAATGGAACCAGTAACATAAAACTATACAAAAACTAACTTGGTCGAACCTAAAAAGAACTCCTACTTACAACAACACAAAAAACAAAATTTTCACTTTATTTATATAAAAAAATAAAAATTTTACTTTATAAAAATGCTGAAGAGCTACTGATTAAAAAAAAAACAGAGTTGATTTCCAAATGTCGTCATGTAAATAAATTTTTATTAAGCAACCACAAACCTGAATAATAAATACACACAGTTGTAACAATAGTGTTTTATGTTTTACATAACTAGTTCCAATTGTTTATAATTATTTAACAAAAAAATTATATTTGCATTTCCCCTGATAAATGCAAAAGCATGAAACCTAAAGATGTGAAAATCATGTAGTTTTATTTTCTGCTATACTATAGCTCTGACTCTGAGCTCATCAAGCACTTTCTTGATAGCATATGCACTTCAAAACTGCATGACTACATACACACACACACACACACACACACACACACACACACACACACACACACACACACACACACATATATATATATATATATATGTATGTGTGTGTATATATATATATATATATATATATATATATATATATATATATATATATATATATTTGTATAGATTTTGATATATAGAATATATTCGAGGTTAAGTATTTTGATGTAATAATACGAAGTCTCTTGTACGTGTTACAGTGCTCAATATTACTGAATAATAGAGCTATATATAATTATATTTAGATGAATAAAAACAACTGATTAGCGGGACTTAAAGTTTCATGCCCGAAGGCAATCATCAGCCGTTAATACAAACAAAAAACGTAAACAAACCGTTACAAAAACGTAAAAATTACTGTAGAATGACATCTGATGTTATAAACAAATCTACGTAAAAAACAAATCAAAAAACAAAAAACAAAAAGCCGTTATAGTTTATTAGTCTCCTGTGTCAAATAAAGATTATAGGAACTTTTTTGAATGCCGACACTGAGATACGATTTCGTTTTTTTTATTTAGTAGATTTTTTCCATTATGCGATAAAATTACATATTTTTCGTAGAGACAAAGGTGGCATATTTTTGTTGCTAGATTGTAAGGTTTACAACGTTTGACAATTTTCCATTCTATAATGGGCTTTATGTTTTGGTCTTTTAAACTCCATATTTCCTTAGATAGTTCTGTGTCATTTCTATATTTACTTGATGCAAATGATTTGAGATGGTTTGCGTATCTTAGTTTAAATGGTGTATTACTAATGCCAAAATATACTTTTTTATTACGATCATGATGACTGGAACTTACGGTTGCTTGATAGACAATATTGTTAGATAAACATTGATTGTTCAAAGGGCAAAATGCTTTATCTACGCAGTTACATTAATTGGTTTTTAATTGATTTTTGCTGTGCAAAATTTTGGAATTATGCGAATTTATGATAGATTTTAGGTTAGGCATGCAACTGTAGCTAATCTTAACAGAATTTCGGTTGAATATTTTGTGTAGTTTGTGACCGGCTGGAAAATGTAAGTCAATAAGGGCTAGAAAACGGTTTCCTATTTTTGTTTTGACGTTTAAGCTGAACGGAGGGTTATACCAAATAATATTACGTTTACGTTGCTTTTTTTGTTGATTTTGACTTGAGATTATTTGTGGTTGGTAGGTAAGGTTCGATTTATATCCCGATTTTTTTAAAGCCTCTTCATACGGTGGAATAGCCTTTTTGAAGAAATTTTCATTAATTGACATGGAAGATAATCTTTGTTCGATATTGCGAGGGATTGCTTTTATTATGCTTGGAGGGTGGTTAGAATTAGAGTGGATGTACCTTATTTGATTATCAGGTTTAAAATATGGTTGAAATGTACCGTTACTTAGATTTAACGTAACATCGAGGTAGTTAACAATTTTTAAATTAGATTGAATGGTGATTTGAAGATCGTTTTTTTTAAAAATGAGTGATATGTGCTTTTTGATTTTTTCCATTTGCTGACCGTTTTTGTTCTTGAATACAGCAAGACCGTCGTCACGATATAAGCCAAAATCTTCTTTATTATAATTTTGTGAAATTTGATACAGTATGAAAATACCTATTAATTCGCAAACTTCAGCACCATCAAATGCCCCCATTGTTACATCGAACAACTCACCTCTTTTTTTAATCCATGCTTCATCGTTGTTGAAGATAAGAGATTTTCTTGCATGCATTATTAATGCTTTGTCTTCGCTTTTGATAACGATATGATGGTCAGCAAAATTCATAGCATTGTTGAGGGTGCTTTCCTTTATGGAAGGATAAAAATCGTTAACATCAAAAACTAGGAATTTGTATAAGTGCTTATTGGTGATTTTTTTAAACCAGTCTAAAACATTTTGCGTACTTTGCCATTGATTCAAAAAAAGTTTATTTTTAAGTTCACAATTAATTTTTGTTAAAATTACCTTAGAAATTCGTCCTACCTCATTTTTTGAAGGGTTCAAAAGGCGCACAGATGGATTGTTAGCGAAGTTTTCCTTGTGATCTTTCAAAGTGAAAAAACAGTTAGAGGATCTGTTTATTTCTATTTTTTTATATACCTCGTGGTTGGTTAAAATTTGTTTTCCTTCTTTGTTTATATGGTCCTTTAATTTTGGATTTGCTTTTTTGTATGTAGTGGTAATAGCATTTGTTAACAGATTATTGTAATCATCTTTAGACAGTTTATACATATTTGATGTTTTGTCAGCATGTGTTAGAGTTTTGTGAGATTTACGTATATTTTTGATATCTTTTTTCATACCATTTTGAAAAGTGTTGCGTATGTCTTGAAACTTTATTGATTTAATAAGATTGATTAAGTCTTTTTCGAAGAATGACATTTCTTTTATTTGCGGTGGACATATATGAGGTCTAATTCCGTAGTTTGTATAATTGATATTGTCTTTAATTCTTGGATCGTTATTAATAAAAAAGAATGCTTTCCATCTCATTTTCTTTAAAAGTAATTCCGTTTTGTTTATTAATTTTAATTTAAAGTCTCTTTCTGACGGTATTGAAATGTTTTTTATTGAATAATCAAAGTTTATTTTTTCCATCGCGTTGACGACTTGAGTAAAGTGCTCAACTTTACGGAGCAAATATTTGTATAGATTTCGATATATAGAATATATTCGAGGTTAAGTATTTTGATGTAATAATACGAAGTCTCTTGTACGTGTTACAGTGCTCAATATTACTGAATAATAGAGCTATATATAATTATATTTAGATGAATAAAAACAACTGATTAGCGGGACTTAAAGTTTCATGCCCGAAGGCAATCATCAGCCGTTAATACAAACAAAAAACATAAACAAACCGTTACAAAAACGTAAAAATTACTGTAGAATGACATCTGACGTTATAAACAAATCTACGTAAAAAACAAATCAAAAAACAAAAAACAAAAAGCCGTTATAGTTTATTAGTCCCCTGTGTCAAATAAAGATAATAGGAACTTTTTTGAATGCCGACACTGAGATACGATTTCGTTTTTTTTATTTAGTAGATTTTTTCCATTATGCGATAAAATTACATATTTTTCGTAGAGACAAAGGTGGCATATTTTTGTTGCTAGATTGTAAGGTTTACAACGTTTGACAATTTTCCATTCGATAATGGGCTTTATGTTTTGGTCTTTTAAACTCCATATTTCCTTAGATAGTTCTGTGTCATTTCTATATTTACTTGATGCAAATGATTTGAGATGGTTTGCGTATCTTAGTTTAAATGGTGTATTACTAATGCCAAAATATACTTTTTTATTACGATCATGATGACTGGAACTTACGGTTGCTTGATAGACAATATTGTTAGATAAACATTGATTGTTTATCTAACAATATTGTCATATTGACAATATTGTCTATCAAGCATTTTGCCCTTTGAACAATCAATGTTTATCTAACAATATTGTCTATCAAGCAACCGTAAGTTCCAGTCATCATGATCATAATAAAAAAGTATATTTTGGCATTAGTAATACACCATTTAAACTAAGATACGCAAACCATCTCAAATCATTTGCATCAAGTAAATATAGAAATGACACAGAACTATCTAAGGAAATATGGAGTTTAAAAGACCAAAACATAAAGCCCATTATAGAATGGAAAATTGTCAAACGTTGTAAACCTTACAATCTAGCAACAAAAATATGCCACCTTTGTCTCAACGAAAAATATGTAATTTTATCGCATAATGGAAAAAATCTACTAAATAAAAAAAACGAAATCGTATCTCAGTGTCGGCATTCAAAAAAGTTCCTATTATCTTTATTTGACACAGGGGCCTAATAAACTATAACGGCTTTTTGTTTTTTGTTTTTTGATTTGTTTTTTTACGTAGATTTGTTTATAACGTCAGATGTCATTCTACAGTAATTTTTACGTTTTTGTAACGGTTTGTTTACGTTTTTTGTTTGTATTAACGGCTGATGATTGCCTTCGGGCATGAAACTTTAAGTCCCGCTAATCAGTTGTTTTTATTCATCTAAATATAATTATATATATATATATATATATATATATATATATATATATATATATGTATATATATACATATATATACATATACATATATATATATATATATAAATATATATATATTTATATATATATATACATATATATATATATATATATATATATATACATATATA